CGCCAAGAAAGTGCCGCGGCTCTGGAAGGGTTTGAAAGGTGTGCGCCCTGGCGCACGGCACATCCAGCCTCACCGACGAGTTATTACTTAGCTGGAAGCTAAAATCTTCTCATCTGTGGAATAAAATAACCAGTGCACCTCTAAGAGACTCACTGCGTGGGACTTCGTGTGCATCCAGGTGCAGAAGGGGAGTGTGCGAGGAGCGTTGTCACAGGCGCGGTGTTACTTGGAGCGGCACGGTGTTACTGGTAGGAACTGGCTGGAATGGGGTGGGTCGTTCTGATGCGGAAGGTCTGTTTCCCCCTTGTAACACCTCAGGAGGAAGGGGCAGACTTACTTCCTGAGGGGAGGTGGCCACCTTCTTCACTGTGTTTTCTAAATATAATGCCCTGGCTACTCGGTAGTAAGATGTTTCTGTTAATAATATTAGTAGCCTTTTCCCACTGAAGACAACAGGAAGAATCCTAAGCCGTGGCCACAGAGCTCTGTCAGGTCATTCCCAAGGACCACCCCACTCAAGGCCTATCATGCTGCGATGCCCCCTCATCCTACCCCAGCCACTGAATTTGAAAGTATTTGCCATCTCCATCCTAGACAGGCCGAAGACACATGGCTTCATTTGGAGGCTTCAGTGGCACGTGTTCATGTGCTTGCACAATTAAACTACAAGCAACGTTATCCAAAAGTATTTCTCATCCTCACTGGGCAGTTAAGCAGTGCTCAGAAAAGTATGGTCATGGGTGGTGGAATTTAAAGAAAAGGAACCAAACCTGCCAACTGTGCAGTAGAGAGGAAGTGTTAGTAAGCTTCTGACTATGAGGATAGGAGGGAGAACCAAGTCACCATAATTTGGTATCTACTCAATTCACCCCTTGCACATCTGTTGTGTTTTTTTTTTTTTTTACTCTTTCTGTTTTCATTCATGTACCAAGTAGTGGTAGCCTTGCTAGTTTATCTATTGTTGGAAATAATGTTTTGAGGGCTTTTTAATACTTGCAAACTATCTTTCTGTAAAAGATTTTCTGAGATTTTAATTATCTATGTTCCACTTAAAGAGCTTTGTGATTTGGCACTCCTACCTAATCACAGCCAAAGCTCTGCCTAGGAGGTGAAGTCTGTACTTAGTTCACTGGATCCCGTTCATGTCCCTTGGTTCTAGGTCCTCTCTGCGGTTAATCTCTTTTGTGAGCGTGAAGTTGTTTTTATGAGGTGACTTCAGGCGTCTCGCAGGGCTATTGTGTGTGATAGAAGGTGGTAGTTTTTGATCAACCTCTTCAGAGTCAGTGCTGAGAAAATAAAAGGCACAAATCAAAACTGAACTCTTAAAATATGTAATAGAGGGCCTTCTCTGAAAGTTCCCAAATGTGTTAGATATTTTTGATCAGCTTTATGACAACTAGTAAAATAACACTTACAGCTGCAGTTTTCTTGAGGCAGTTTAAAATTACAGTTTGCTATATGAGACTTTGATCATAGGTTATGCTCAGTAAATTATTCCCAGGTACCACATGTTATCTCTTCAGTTCTTCAGGACGTTACTGACTGTCAATTTTAAGCAAGATTTTCCACTGAAAGTCATGTAGATCTTGGGCTGTTTTGACTCGACAGAAGAAAGGAGAATTTAGCCATAACAACAGGAAATTACTTTAGATGTCTTGTATGGCACAATGTCTAAAACCGTGTGAGATTTCTTCTTACCAGGTAGTCCCATTTTCAGCTTGTACATGCATAACACTGCTGTCTTAGTCAGTTTCACCCTGAAAATAAAGACAGATCCGTGTTTTCTTTTGATTTTTATCTCTGCCACTTTGCAGCCTAGATTCACAATATATGTAAAATATTCTTGAAAATTAATGAAAGAGCCAAGTCCTGCATCACTTAATTAAAAAATATTTCCAGCAGGAAAACCACCCACGCAACACTGGCAGCCCTTTCTACTCATAGATCCCATGCACTTAAAAGAAATATAAAAAATAAAATCCCCAGTCTAAGGATCATTTTGACCCACTTCCCCCCCTCTTCACAGTGTTGTGAAGAGAGAAACACCATAAAATCCACTTAGATATTTTTGCTATTATTATTGATTCTGTGCAGAAGGTGTTTCAGTACTATGATGATGTGCAGCAATATAAAAGCTTAAGATCAAAATATGACATGAACGCTGAAAGGTGAATAAATCACATACCCTAGATACGTTTGTTTTACAACCCTGGAGCTGTATTATATCCAGCAGTTACCCTTGGAGAGCTTCACTTTCATTCAAGGTGGAAAAGAGCCCGTGCAGTCCTGGAGGGCGTTCACAGCAAAGGGTTAAATATGTCGTAGGCCTTTCAGCACTGAGGTGACATAAGGTACATGAAGAAGCTCAAAGAGGAGCAGTTCCCTCTGCAGCCTGTTCTCTGCAGCACTGAGCTGGGTTTTGCTGTGGGAATAATAAGGATATCTTACTGTGCAGAAAAAAACATCCTCATCAAGTGAACACCGTCAGTGATCCTGAGGACAGAAGGACACGATGTAGGCTGTACAACACCACCACCAGCACTGCTGCTACCACTCATCTTCTGGTAAACTATCTTCTGCCCGTTCCTCTCCAACAAAGGAGGAAGTTTTGTGCTGGACTGCGCTGAGAAAGCTCAAACTGATGGACTTTTCTGGGCGAGAAGAGATGCTGAGCAGGTTTGATTTCTTCTTACACCCATCTGTGCCCCTGTAAGACTGCAAAGTGCTCCTGTGTGCACAAGTGTATCTCTTATAGCAGTGACACAGGCCTCCCTGAGTGTTTTCTGAGTAACTACAGGTGGGCTAGTACCATAAAGCATTGTTATGCTATGGCTTTCGTAACAAAATAATGTCATCCAGCCATAGGAAAATAAAACATGCAATGATTACAATATAGCAGCAATCCTGCTGTGTGTACCTAGCCAATCCCATAGGGAATTTGCCTGAGTAAGAATAAGGTAAGATTCAGTGGGTAAACTCTTAAAAAGCTAATGTAACTAATGTTAACTTCAAAAGAGACAGAATTTGACATCCAATATTCTGTTTTGGAGCAATAAGAACAGCAGATTTCCATTTTGTAAAATAGAACCAAAAGCATCAGCCGAGAATTTCTAAAAGGAAACTCATGCCGAAATTGAGTGCTTTGTAACTTTAATTTTTCATTTTCTTCTTCATTGTTCAAATAAAAAAGCAAAGCCATGTCATGTTTAGAATTGGCCAAGAGATTTTAAACCTAATCTCCTCTTCCGGCAAAGATTTACAGTCCTGCACACCTTAAGAACATGAACAATACCGGCAGGTACAGGAGGACTGAGTTTAAGAGACCTGTGCAACAGCCAGTCATTCTGTAGCTACACTATAAAATTGTCTCATTTTTACCAAACATGTTTTCTTATTATAAATTTGCTTTCAGTGATAGACTGCAGATTCTCCATTAAATAATGGGAAATTATGGCACGCACGTGTACACACACACACACACACACACCCCACATATTTTTTTCCACTTATTCACAAAGAAATTTTAAAAGTGGGGGCCCACAACTAGCCTAACCAAAATTCTTCAGATGTGTGGGAATTTGTGATATAGTATGATTTAGAAAGACTAAAATGGCAAGGTTAGCTTGCAGGGAAAATAGAGAGGAGAAAGAAGAGGAGTGGCAGGGGCTAGTGGTAAAAAAAAAAAACAGAAAGCCAGGGAAAAAGGAGACAAAGAGTTTCAAGTGATTTGATTTAAGCACATTCAGATTTACTTCACACAGTAGAAGTGTAAATGCATGGTCCTGAGTGTCTAGGGACACTCCAAAAAAATTCATCTAGATGAACTCTTAAAACCATCAGTTAGAATGCATTAAATCTCTCTGTGGGTGAAATTGAGCCTGAATCCCATTAAATTAAATTGAATCAAAGCCACTTCAATTTTGAATGAGAATGTCCACAACAAGTTTTTCAAACAAATCCACTTAAAATTCCCATCTTTGGACTCACTTTCCTGTAACCTTTCAAGCTGACACTTTTCCGTTATTAGGGATAGCGAGATATAGCCATTGTACTAATTATACACATCAGGATTTCAAAGCTTTTATTGCAGTACTCATGGGAAAAGAAATACATTATTTTCTTAAAAAAACAATTTCAGAAATTCTGTAGGCTTTTGAGCATCCCCAAGGTATAGCACTAACAGAGAATGCAAATCTTCATATGACACCTGTCAATCATATTAAATAGTTCATGTTTGTCAACTGCAGCCCAAGAACATAGTTACAAATAAATTCAAAAAATATGTCAGATGCATTAAATCTGTCTAAAGCTTCTCTGTCTATCCCCTCCCCTGAGGTGCCTTTGTTTTCTGTTAATGATGGATATGTACTGCTTGCGGGGAAGGATAAGTTTAAGTTTACTTATTCTTGCCGACCCTCCGATTAACAACACAACAATAGTAAACATCTGTCTGTTGATATATGGTCATAATTGCATCACAAAGTTGAACAATAGCTGCCTATAGTTTGTATCTTCAAAACCAAACTTTTTAGGGCAGTAAAAAGTTTTTCTTGCAATTTCCTTGCAATTCCTATTTGAAAATACTGAGGCATTTTTTCAAGCTCAAGATGATAAGTAGTTTTGTAGTGACGCTTCAGCACACCTGCCCTTTGAGCATGGACTCCCCAGATCCCTGTTAGGCCTGCCTCTCTCTTGGTTAAACGCCAGTTTATGATACGAGGAAGAAATGTGAATGAACTGAAGACAGTCCCGGAATTTCTAAAGGTCACATTATTTTAATTTACTCTTGCGCCAACCCCAGACCTAATTCTGTCACCCTGCTCTCTCAGCATCATACCCATTAAGGTGTGAGTAATACACATGTCCTGATGCTGCGACTCCAACTTCTTAACCCAGCAAGGAGATACCAGACCCATATCACACAGCAGAGAGAGCTAAGCAGATACAAACCTTGGAGGCACAGAGGCCCCACACACTCACTGTTCTCCTGGCAGGGTGGGCTAGAAATGCTCGATTTCCCAGGATACCCGCAGATGCCTCGTCAGTCCCTGCATCTTCTCTCATGGGGCGTCTCCGCAAGGGTGGGCGTCTATAGACGCTGCTGCCAACACCTACAACTGTCCTGAGGGAGAGAGCTGAATAGCTCGTACCCCTCATTTGACTCCAGGACAATGGGCCGACCACTACACTACTAGCAAAATGTGGTTTTGTACCAAACTGAATGAGAATGTCAATGTTTCTCACCTAATAAATAGTTCTGTGAAAACAGTGGCTGAGCACTCCATGGCAAAAAATTCCCTCAAAAACTGGAACAGAATAAAAAACCCTACAATCTCAGGAGTTAATAGGAAAAAACAAAGAATAAAATAGAGGATTTTGTTACGTCACTGTACAGGTCCATGGTGTACCTGCATCTTGGATCCTGTAGGAAGGTTTGTTCCTGAAAAAAGATATAGCAAGACTAGAAAATGGGTTGTCAGAACGGCGAAAGAAAACATTAAAGACTATAAAACATAAAGGTATCCCCTCTGACGAGGAAGTCCCAGGCATAAGTGACTGAAAACTGGGAAAGTAATGCCTGGTAGGTGTTGTCTGGTGTGAGAAGAGTTGCACTCCTTGTTGGACAGCTCTAATTGTCCACAAGGTCTGAAGGGCCTTTGGCCCAAGCAGATCCTTCTGCTCTTCTGTTCACTTTGGTCTGTGTAGAAGGCAACAACAGGCAGAGGACAGCTGAAAATCAGGCACCTAACGTGTATTGAGGACACTGGCCACCCTAGAATAGAGGCTTAACAAATAACACGAGACTGATCCAGTTTTGCAGACCGATTTGGATTGCTGGGCCCTCCTCCACTGCAGCCACCAAGGACAGGACTTGGGGACGGTGCCAAAGTGGGAACCAAGTAGGAACACCCAGAGCAGGTCTGCACTTCAGAGGTGTCCCAGCCCTGCCTACACGAACTAGCATCCTCAGAAGAGGATGTCCTTACTTCTCCTCTGAGGATGCTCGCTGGGAGTTTGGCTTTGCTCTAATGACCATTTAGTACCTGATCCAAAGGTTCATTAATTTTAAATACATAAATGAGTCGATCGAGGCTTCCAGAAATATACGGCTTACATGGGAAATCTTAATTTCTTAACCAATTCATTAATGCTGTCGGGCTTCTAATGTTAGGGTAACACTTGCCCCCAAACATTAGCAAAGCCTAAGCTCACAGAAATGTAATTTATAAGAAAATGTGTAGGAGGATTCCAGGCACTGTTCCCATGCAGTTATGGTAACTGCTCCCTGTTGTTTGTGGAGATTTAAAAATCCTGAAATATAAAGAGAGTTTAAAAGAGATACATTTCTTTATGTATAAAGTTATTTATATTCCAACAAAGAAAAGTGGTTTCTACTCTCACTGTTCAGTAACAAATTTTTAACGCTTCAAGTTTTAGAAGAACTGCTTTTTCAGACTGCTTCACAAGTCATTCATGTGAATGATCTGCTGGCAGGATAGTCCCTTTTTATCAAACTGGAGGTGGAATATTTTCCTTCCAACAGCATATTTCCATTGCTTAGCAGGTGTTTTCTTCCCTTGGATTTACAAAATGTTGAGTAGCCAGCCAAGGAAAGGTTGCCCTCTCAACTGGAGATGGTTCAGGACTTGGAGCACTCTCTGCAGAGGCTGCTGCCCCCAGCAAACCTGGAGTGAACTGGAACTTTGCCTTAGCAAAGCCGGTGCTTTCTGAGCAGGTATTATCCTAATGCACAAAGCAGGAATCCAAACGACATTGTTACGTTTGCAGTAGGACAGTTAAACAAATGATAAGGATCTGCAGGCAAGTGCAAAGTTGCAGAACTTGTAAAGTTCTTACCTCCCACCTGAAAGTTCAAACATTTCAGATGAAAATAGTCTTTGAATAATAGCATTATTACATGGTTATTTTACTTGAGATATAACGAAAGCCAGCACAGTTTATTCCCTCACCGATAATCACTCAGTTTTAATAGGTTTTTTAATAGATTTTGTCTCACGTATTTTCTAATGTGTGGATTTCTGTGCTGCTGTTGATTGTTTCCCTGGCGCTTTTTTCCCTTGGTGTGTTCCTTAGATATATATTGTAATATATTTCTCACCATCTTCATTACTGATCCATGGAGATATTTAGTACTATTTCAAGCCAGCTTGAAAGGAGAAGAGTTGGCTCATTAAAATCCAGTTCTCTCAAAATGGTTTAGGCAGATAGAGTGTACTAACGTTCTGTTTTCAGGGACTCAATATTATCATTTTCTTCTGGTTTATTCTATTTTTTTCAAAGTTGATTTAGTTAACACCAGTTCCTCCAGTACTTACATTCATTCAGCTTCAATTATGAGCTAAAAATGGTGTACGTTTCTTTAAACGTGTATTTCTTTCAAACACATTGGAAACT